AACTTATCTAGTGTATATTGAATTTTGTCTTTTGGGAGGCACATTATGCAGTCATCCACATATCGTTTAAAAAATTCACACTTATAGTTTAATTTAGAAATTATTTGTTCTTCCAAATTTTCCATTACCAAATTTGCAATTGTTGCTGCTATGGGAGAACCCATTGCTACTCCATATATCTGTGATAAGAACTTGTTTTCGTACTGGAAATATGTGGATTTTAAGCACAATTCTACCGCCTCAATAAATTCTTTTTCGGGTAATTTTGTATGTTCTTTCATCGCTTCCCATTTATTTTTTATACAACTTATTGAGTAATCTATTGGTATATTTGTATATAATGATACAACATCCAGTGATATTATCCGATGATTCTTTGGTATTTTTTGTTGTTTTATAAAATCACAAAAACTCCACGAGTCTTTAATGTAATATTGTGACTTTTCCAATACATTACTCAAAACTGCTGACAGATATTTAGATAATCGGTACGTTGGAGCATTATGTTACTAACTATCGGTCGTAATGGAATGTTTTCCTTATGAAGTTTTGGTAGGCCATATATAAATGGTGCTCGGCCATTGTTGCTAGATAGTGTTCGTTTCAAATTATCTGTTATGAATTTCTTTTTATGCCATAAATTTATTATTTTATTTAGTTTTGTTTGTATATCAAGTATATATCATTACCATATATATATTTACCACTATCCCCTGTGGCCGCATAAATACGACAGGGGATCCAGTAGTTGAACCAGTCTTAGTCGGAAAGCACGGGAGATCACTTCGCCCACTGCCTCCTCACAAGTTTTTAACCAAACTATTATACATAATAGCGCAAATGTACATTTAGCAATGTTTTTCCTGACGTTTCGTTCACAACTGCGGTGGACATTTTCAAAGGCGATGAGGCAGTGGGCGAAGTGATCTCCCGTGCTTTCCGACTAAGAAATTTTTCTTAGAAAACATTTCTTAGTCGGAAAGCACGGAAAGCACGGGAGAAGCACGAGAGTCAGGAAGAAATTCCGATAGACCACGGCTTCAAAGCCCGGAAAACATTCCTAAATATAATCTGACCGGCCGTGAAAGCCTTCATAGTCTGATAATGATATTTTGTTTTTTAACTATCTGTTATTATAGAGAAACTGATGATGGTGGAAAACACCGAAACGTATTTTAATTGATAATTAGAGACAATAAATGACTGAAGCCCAGGAATTGATTTTGATTTGACTATAGTGTTAAAGATCACCTGCAGTAACGTCGGGTTGGGTGTCAGGTAGTTTGGGGCCTCCACCAGACCCCAAGTCAGGCGGCATCAAGACATCGTCATCCCCTATGGGAACGTATCCCTCAGGAGCAGTGATGCCGCCTGTAACGGGATTGATGGGCAGCTGAAAGGATGGTTCTGGGGAAAATCCTGCTGGTGGGTATCCGGGCTGAAACGGCCGTGGCCGCTCGGTATTGGCAGGCGGAAGGTATTCCCTCAATGTACCTTGGCGCACTGGAAGACCAAAATCAAGCGGACTTAAAAGAGCAAAATAGTTGAGATTATCCGATATTTTCCTTTCTACTCATCCACACAATGTGTACCTAAGTATTCACGAGAGAAATTCGCGAAAGACAAATAACTTTCAACTATTGTCCCTCAGCCTTAGCGGAGCGTTATCTAAGCATCTTGGCCATTGCTTAAAACGGCAAAATCCCAAAATGAGCATTGTCTGGTGTGCATATTTCCACTATTTATTCATATGTTGGGTTCACATACCTTGTTCACATATCATTGTGTGAAATGGATACGAGCGTAATTAAGCAACTAACGAATTATTGCTGTAAAACTGGCCGTTCTTTTCAACCAAATAGTTGCTGATTTTTGTGCAGAAACTCAATTTTTGTGAAAAAAACGGCTGACATGGCCCTAAAGCAACACGTCCTCTTCGGGCGAAGAAAACCTTAAAAAGTTCTTGAATGAAATAGTATATTACAGCGTTACTCAGGGTGCTCCGCGGCAAAGTCTCCGGTAGGGCTCCGCTGACAATAAAATTAATACATGCATTAAAGAGAAATCTATAAAAATAAACTACCGGATAAAGAGGCCTACTTATAGATTT